CTGAAACCCAGAAACCCTGAAACCCTTAGCCTTAAACCCTGAAGCTATGAATCTCTTAGCCTCAAACCCTGAAGCCCTAAACCGTCAAACCCTGAATCCCTCAGCGATGAGCCGTGAAACCCTAAACCCTAAACCCCAAGCCCTAAATCCTAAACCCTAAACCCTAAACCCTAAAGCCTAAAACCCTACACCCTAAACCGCTAAACCCTAAACCTACCCCTGAGGCCGCTGCCGCCGTCGTGTTCTTGGCGCACACCCTCCGGAAGAAGCACCGAAGCAGCCCGCGCTCTCCCAGGACTGCTGGATTCCCTCAGATCGTTTAGGGGTTTAGGGTTTTAGGGTTTAGGGGTTTAGGGGTTTGGAGATCGGCCTGCGAAGGTGTCTACAGTGCTTGGTGTCGGGTTTGGGGCACGTCTCAACCCTAAACCCTAAATCTCAACCCTACACCCCAAAACCGTACATGTCACCCTGAAACCGAAACACCTAAAGCCTACACCGTGAATATTCAAAGAGTCGGAGTCCGAACAACGAACTCCCAGAGTCCTGGGTTTTAGGCGAGGTTGGGCCGTGCTTGTAGCCCAAAAAACCTACATTCTACAAAGAAGCCGTCATACGAATCCTACAAACATCCGTTCTTTCTGCCGCTGCAGCTAAATGTTACCCAGGTAGGCCCCAAAACGTCTAAACCCCTAGACCCTATGGAGCCACCCAAAACCCTATTTTAATCATTAAGACCCCTACAGTAGTACGGACAAGACAATCTGACGTGGCCTTTCATCCTATGACGGTTCGTTCCATGCATGTGTATTCTTGGGTTGAGTGCTGGAACGACAACGATGCCAAGAATTTCTAGCATCTGCAGTCTTACAAACTGGAAGCCTGAACAAATAAGTAACTTTGTAATCCTACATCTTAGGGTTTCTTGTTATGGCTGTGGCATAGCGCACCCCAACACCCGAAGAAGAAGTACATAAAAAGGGCCCTGACACCTTTGAACCTTATAGAACCCTCTTTTTTGAAACCACATGGGAAGCAACTTAAGCTACTCCTTAAAGGAACCGTCAAAGAAGCCCGAAAAGGATCTACAAACCCCATTCCAAAGTGCTTACACATGCAGGTAAAACCATTTAAAAGGCCGTTTGAAGCTCCTATAGATCCTAAACGCTAAACCCACAGCCCAAAACCCCCTTAAGCCTAAACCCTAAACCCTCAACCCTAAAACCCTAGACCCTCAACCCAAAACCCAAAACCCTAAGAGCCGGCCTTGTACCCTAAACCCGAGTTGGAAAAGAGCCCCCCCCCCCACCCCCCCAAAAAATGAGCAAAGTGCACCCTAAACCCTAAACCCTAAACCCTAAACCCTAAACCCTAAACCCTAAACCCCCAGAGCAAAGTGCACCCTGGCCAAAAAGCGCAGGATCGACGAGCCGTTCATGACCGGGGCGCCCCCCCAAGTGCAGGTGGCGCAGCAGGTCCAGGCCCGCCCTTTTTGCTTCCTCTTTCAAGGGCGTTTAGTTTAGGGCCGTTTAGGGTTTAGTTTTTTTTTGGTTCCTGTTTGAAGGGCGTTCAGGGTTTGTTTTTTTTTTTAGGGTTTCGGGTTATGTTTAGGTCTAGAGAGTTTGGGGTTTATAGGGTTTTTGCTTCCTGTTTGAAGTGCGTTTAGGGTTTGGGGGTTTTCGGGTTATGTTCAGAGATTTAGAGGGTTTAGGGTTTAGGTTTCTTTCTTTGGGTTTCGGGTTATGTTTAGAGTTTTAGAGGGTTTAGGGTTTAGGGATTTTAGGGTTTCGGGATGATTAGGGTTTCTTAGGGTTTAGGGTTGAGAACTCTGGAAACAGAAGTTTGAAGAACTAGCCTTTGTAGTTAATTGTTCTGGCTTCTGGGGTTTGTCAACGCTCTATCCAGACAATAAACCCCTGGATTTAGTTGTTTTGTCAGGGTATAGGAAGGAGACACTTACCTTTAGAGTTGATTGCCGGTCTTGTTCCGCATCCCCGTCCGGACAGTTAGCTCTGGACTTAATTGTTGTTTGCTGGTTGGGGTCCTCTTTGAGGGGAATTATCTCTGGATATAATTGTTTACTTGGGGTCCTTCGAGGAGAATTAACTTTGGATTTAATTGTGTACTTGGGGTCTGTTTGAGGAGAATTAACTCCGGACCCTAAACCCTAAACCCTAAACCCTAAACCCTAAACCCTAAACCCTAACCCCTAAACCCTAAACTCCGGATTTGATTGTTTCGCAAGGCTTCGCAGTCTTGGGGTTCCATTCCTGCTGCCTC